CCGCGGTAGCCGCCTCGGTGATCTCGCCATTCCCGCCCAAGTGACCCGCGGCCCCCGCCCCCGTCCTGTCCGGCGGAACCGTCGGGGGCAACTCCGCACAGGCCCATCACACGCATCCGGCGGCGGCGAGCGGCGCGCCCGGTGCGGGACACCCGCACGGCACCGCCGCCGGTGGCGGCAGGCAACCGTAGGAGACATGGACACGAGCGAGCGAGCGGTGTAGCCGATACTGAGCAGGATGCCGCGTGTATTTTCCAAACTGCGTTATACGGCTGGATTAGGACCAAGAAGTAACCAGTAAAGAAAGGCTGACTACGGCCGGATTAGGACCAAAGTGTAATCGGTAAAGAGGCCGGGATGTTCTTTACCTGCTCTGTACCGCCCGTTCTCTCGATGTCGCTTGAAATTGGGATCCCAGAAAAGCTAGTTCAGACGTTAGGACCACGGAGCAATGACCAAGATAACGGGTGCTGTCGTTCCTCTTCTCAACAACCGTTCAAGTATTAGGGATTGAAGACTAGATGGGACTGAAGACTGGTTGAAATATTAAAACTCCGATGTGATAGCCAGGAAAAGAGGAATGGTGTGCTGTTCACTTACTTAATAATGCTACCAGGAACTTTAGGGCAATGTGATACACGGTGCTCTATGTGGTATTATTCATGTCTCTGCGAACTAGGCCGAATTAGGAATTCTATATACGCAAGCAAATTGTAAATCATGACGACTAATGATGATATTAGAAGGTTGAAACGAATCAGGAAAACTGATCACGAAGATCCACGACTTTCCAAATCAGGCGCAAACGTGGAAAGTACTATATGTATATCGAATTTAGAGGACGTGAGAAAGATAAGAGACTGAATTCGATTCGACGCACAAATACGTTGTCCATTCTCGGACAGAGTTGTTTCTGATCAATCTGAACAGATAGTAGTAAGCTCGACGAGACGATCGTGAGTAAGCAATCCTCCGGATGTATCGAACTATCGGACCGATGTTCACGCGACGAGAGGATGAATTTCCTACTATCACACTCCCCGAGTATCGTGACGCCACATATGTTCATTGCGGATTCACGATTCTCGTGCAGACAAAACCAGCTTGCTGAATATCCTTCTTCGTGTACATAGTGTATATCTAAGGAACACGCGCCGCATAATGTACAGACGCCTTCGGTTAGTGTAAGAATAAATGATTAGGAGCTCGATCTTAGCCCGTAAATTGAGATCTGTAAAGTTTCGAGAGGTACGATCTATCTCATGAGATGAGGGTCCTCGAGCGGGATCGAGCGAAAGGTTGCCTCGTTTCGGTGGACTGGATTCGCTCAGTGCCATCCAAAAAAATCATTGATTCCTCGTTTAACATGTGCTGATCCTGGGTAACACTCGGTTTCTCTTTTCTTTCTAGTGTCTAGATCTAAACAGACCTTGTGGGACCGGTAGCTCGGAATGGAACGGAGAATTGCAGATCCGGGAAGTATTAACTAAACGACATTCGGGACCCGAAGTTAGGATAGGCTGAGGGAGGTCCGCGCGGTCCATCCACCGGAACGAGGCGTGGAAGATGCGCGACGACGGTTCGCGAGGAAGCAGGCGTCTCGTTAGACTGAAGCACGCGAGGACGAACGGCACTGTCGGCGTTCTTGCGTCCACGGGGCTGCGCTGGCAAAAATTGCGGCGAGCGTGGATTAATGCGTGCCGGGTGCGAGCGCGGCTCCGCTCCCGACTCTCAGACTCGAGCGTGTGTGTCGAGGCGAGGTGGAATTTTTATCGAGCGTAGAGAAGCTTAAGAGCGTGCGAGCGAGCGCGTGTAGACGTGTGCGTGTGCATATATGTAAGAGAGAAAGAGAGACAAAAATATATATATAACGATTATATATAATAGGGTATACGAGAGATGTAAGAGAGTAGCGAATCACGTGCGTCGACTGCCTTGTACAAGCATAATGCATGCGTGTGGATGTGCGTGCGTATAGATTCCGTATCGATGTATTTTATTGTAAAGAAATAAGACAAAGAATTTAGGCGTGCGCAAACTTCGATTTTTGTAGAGAAATTGTATAACTTTGCTGATAACTTATCTCTTAGGGAAATGAAGAATTCATGATTGTGTGTTGACCGATCGCTAAATGTCGATAAATGCGACCAGAAGGGAACTCGTCCTTAAGGCATGAACGATTTACAAAGACGAGTCACGAGGACGACAAAAGAAGAAAAATGTAAAACGAGACGACACGTAATGCGTTGATTCTAAATAATTAAGTGGCGTTAAGTGACTGTAAATTCGATGCTAGAACGCTATTTGTTTACTAAGGTAATGGTAGCCAGTGATGCGCGAGAGCTAGGGGGAAAAAAAGGGGACAAGGGGTTGAGGAGAAGTGCAGGGGCGAGGTCTAGAGAGTGAGGTAAATAGGAGGAGCGAAACGTATAATTACGTATGCATACGCAACTATATATATATATATGTATCTATAAACTACATAATGTTTGTTCAGTAACTACTATCGTCATCCATTTTATATATATTATATGCGATTATTGATTATTAATTATATTATTTTATTACTATGGAAAGATAAAAGAGGAAAAAAGAGAAGAGAAAGATAACGGCGATGCGAGAAATTTTATCGGGCAGCGTTTCGTAAATGCCAAATCAAAAGATACGGCTGATGATGCGTTTTACATTGCAGGGGAGAAAAAAAAAGAGATATTTAATAAAATGAAGGAATGGAGGAGCTGGGCAAAACGTAATGCATCCATTTTGCCGAATATAAGCAAAACCATGATAGAGAAGCGCGCGCGCGCACTTATGTGAGCGAGAGGATATACGTATAAATGCTTTGTTTGTTGTATGTGTCTTTGTGTATGTTCGCGCGTGTATTGTGTGCGTACATGCGAATGAATGAGAGAAATAAAAAGTGATTCGCCTCAGTTTTAGTGGGGCGCCCAGCGGACGAACGGGTGGGCTTTAAAAGAAATAAATGCTGGTGCTGCTCTGTGATTTTTGTAAAAAAAAAAAAGCAAATAAGAAGAAAAGAAGAACCCGAGAAAGAAGAGTACACGAAACGATCGAGGGACTCGATATTCTACGGGATCTCCATGAGCATAAAAGAAATACAAAAAAATGCGAAAAAAGAATGAGAAGCAACACGCAGAGAGATAGCTTGAGTACCTGGACCCTGCCCTGGTCCGCGTCTGCCTCCGCGAGCGGAGGTGCAAGGAAAGAAAAAAAGGGAGAAAAAGTGAGTGAGTGAGTGAGTGAGTGAGAGAGAGAGAGAGAGAGAGAGAGAGAGAGAAAGAGAGAGAAATGAGAAATAGAGAATGTGAGAGTGAAAGAAGAAGAATGTACGAGTGCGCCGCGTCGTTTCACTCAATTGTACAGGCTGTAAAATGTATTCGCTTTCAGTAAGCAAGGAAAAAAGAATTTTAATATAGATCGTTAATCGCTAATTAGGGGATATACGTAGAGGGAGAAAGATATAAGGAGAGAAAGATGGTGAGAGTCGTCATCGTCTCTCGTAAGCTCAAAGAGCTTTATTGCACCTACACGCGAATCGCACATTACTGGAAGACGGGTTACAACTTCGTGGACTAGATGGTCGGTCTTTGCTATCCTCGCACTCCTCCTGTCGGCCCCCGCTCGCCCTATGGGAATGAGAAACCCCCTGGGACGCGCAACTCGCCCAAGTGTAATAGGGAGCGTATGTAATTAGCAATTGGAGACAACCTCCGTGTCCGAGAATACACGACACTGTAGCGAGTACTACGTATATTTGCCAGGACGTTGCATAATCGATCGTGAGAGTATCAGGAGAGAAAGAAGAAGGAGTGAACAAGAAGGAGAAAGTAAGAGACGAAAAGGAAGAGAAAAACCGTGTGAAACAAAAGTGATGAATTATATATAGATGCGCGTATGCATGTATGTACGTATAACAGAGGTATGAGAGTGGATAGAAGCGAATGGTAAACGATGCTAAGAGAACTGAGACATATAACATAATAAACAAGGACCCTTATTCTCGTCTCCTTTTTTTAGAATGATAAAAATAGTGAGTCGTTACGCTTTATATATTATACATCTCGAGTATATGAATAATACGAGTAAACATAAAAAAAAACGTACAGAGAAGCAGGTGCAGAAGAAGAAAAAAAACATGCAGGCATCTTGTCGTTAAATTGTAAGATATTGTGTTCAAACTCCAGAATGTACTCTGATCCCCCTTCCTCAGACTACTATATATTAAATATATTGTGCACTATGCTCCAACTTGTCCATACAAATAAATATATTCAAAAATCTCAAACATCTCTGCCTTTATTTTTTGTTTCACTATCTTTATTTTTCAGATTGTAACAAACGAAGTTAAAAAATCGTGCGGTTCACTTTATCATTAGATTCAGAGGATTGCATTGAGGACTAAAATTCATGGTATATGAAAATATTAAATTAATGGATAAGATAAAAAGCATCCTATATATCTTACAGTATCAATGGTTTCCACGCAAACGTCACGTTATGAAAGCATCAGCTTTCTATAATTATCTGATTTCATTACTTGTAATGTCCAGCAGATAAAAAATTGATAACTAAAATAATTAAAGTAAATTAATGATCTATACAGTATGATAAAAATTCTTACTCTTTTTAAAAAGTGTTGGAAGTATAATAGACATAAGAGAAAAAAGGAAAGTACTAAATCAAAGAATAATGAAGAGAATTAAAAAGAAAAGTTAGACATTTTTATTTTTTATTCATTTGTCTATTTTTGTATTACTGATTATATTTCTCTAAATGTAAGACTTTGTTGACTTTTAATTTAAATTTTTGTTAACATTAATAAATGTCTGTAATTACCGATAGCGAGCCGGCAACTTACTGATTGATGATATTTTGTGAAACGCAAAAATTAATAAAAGATATCTGTTATATAAAGAAAATATAATTAAATATTATTTAAATATTATTTTTTAATTTGAATTAATTTCCTTCATAACTTAGATATTTTTGAGATTGGAAATCTGAGTTTCAAAAAGTTATCGATATGTTATATAGATAATTATCGACATTATTATTTATGGTTGTAATAGTCACAAAATATTTTTTAATAAAAATTCGCATAAATAATAGATCATACATATAAATGAATCCTGAATGCAAAATTAAATTAAATTTAGAATTTTGTAATTCTGCCGGATTATCAGTCGGGTAATAGAAGTTAGGTTAGGTTGCAGGCCCATGCTTTCATTGATGAAAAGTATTGTTACTTTGTAATTTGTACATACAAAATATGTGAGATATTCATATTTCATCCGTTAATATTTTATCATCTTTGCATAATCTTCTTTATTTGATGATAAAGTGCACTGCATTACTTTTTAACTTCGTCTTTTTGAAATCTGAAAAACAAAGGTCATTATATATGGAAATTCAAATTTAACTATAATCTATAATTTATACAACTTGCACGGTAATAAGTATTAAATCTAGAAAATTAATTATATAATTGGATGTTTTGTTACATTCGTGTCTCGAGAATATACAAGCGTATCATATATAATCCAGAAAATTAGGTTATAAGTATCTAATTATTTTTTCCAAAAGTGGAAGAGGCAAATGCAAGGATATCAAATATGTATTTTATTCATCTCTTGAAATCATTTATATATTTATATAAATGTAAACGTCCCCTTTTTATAGGAAATTTTATAATTTTTAGGAAGAAATATAATTTCTAAAAGATAGTCTATAAGCATAAACATGGACGAAATCGATTACAAATTGAAATCACAAAATCCTACTTTGATATCACATGTAAGAATAGCAAGGATAACTAATCACACATTTGCATTTATATTGTAATTATATAAATACTCAATTGTCTTTCTGCAGGCAATATCCAAGCTGATTGAGGCAATCAGAAAGAAGTTGGAAACAGAAGAAAAGGATATTTCAAAAGTAAATCATTTTCTTTTCTTGATAATTATGATTTTAGTATTTACTTGGTATTTGATATATATAAATATTTTTTGTTTATATATATTTCTTTTTTGTAGATATCCGAATTTAAATTACTCTCGACTAAATGCAACAGTGATGATTCTATAGTTAGCACATCTGCATGCCAAGCGTTGTTTGTGCTTGGTGAGACTGGATTGTGGGATGTCAAGTCTGCATTAGCAACATTCATGGCATGCTTATCTTCTTCAAAGTATGTCATATTAAACAAAGTGTCAATGTTTAATGTCATTTATTTCTTTAGATATGATATTTATTTGTTTCGATTCATTGTATTGTTATCACAAATTTTAGGAATTATCAGATGATTACTGTAGCAATAAGTCGACTATTGATATTAGATTGGAAATCACATGATAGATGCAATGAATATACTCTCGACGTCCCTACTCAGCATCCATTTATTGCGATCCTGATTAAGGAAAAGCTCAGCTGGAGATCTGTGCTGAATCAAATGAAGTTCATTATGCATCATTACGACAAAAAGTATGCTTTTACCATCAGAATAGTTATCTGATATGTGCATATAGAAATATATTATTATATTTGCTTATATAAATTGGAATCCTTTTAGTCTTAAATAATTTTTCCAGCCTATAGTTGAGATGGAAACACATTAAAAATGTTATTAAATTTTTATTTATCCAAATTTCAGTGTTATGGAGCAAAGTGTAGAGTTATTGCGACCTGTATTCGTGCACATATTATGCAATCCTACAATGGATATGTGTGAAAGTTGTAAACAGGAGACATGGCAATTTTTAATAAAATCAAGTAACACTACAGATTTACGAACAGAAATCTTACTCTGGTTATGCACAAATCGAGCGGACACTTGCGTTGATGCGAATTGCCGAGTTCTTGAGCTTGCGGATATAATCTTGCTGAAAAGAGATACAGAATTTTGTACAGCATTGATACCTTTAATCGCTTCTTTGACGATACAGCTTTTGGAATACGGTCATGAACCAACACAAAATTTTTGCATGATATTGGATCTCTTTGAATGTTGTTACAATTATATAGGAAATATTACGCTAGTTTTGATGGCAGAAATAATTTTGATATGTCCTGCAGCTTATTTATTTAACGCCCTCCAAATATGTAAGTATATTTATGAAGTAAATCTAGCCAATCTCACTTTTATATTCATATAAAACATCATTTATTTTATAAAATCACATTTTTTAAAAACAGCAATATTACTTAAAAGAAATTGCAAGATTTAATTTTAATTATTTTGATAGGTGCAGTTATTGTGAATAAAATGCCATGCCACGTTACAATATTAAATACGTTAGCTGCATCCTTATTAAAATGGTTGGCCTATCCGTCGTTATTATGCGCTGATGCGTTAGTGAAAGCAAAAGAATTGTTAATCAAGATAATGTCACAAAAGGAAATGGACAGTAACAACGGTATTATATCAAACAAGATGCTGCTTATATTTAGCTATAGCAATAGATACATCCAATTTTATATGGAACTCATCTGCAGTCTATATTCTCTGAAAAATAACACTCTATCATGGTTGGAGAACTTATCGCTCGCACCGATCGATCTGAGATATATGTGCAAATTGGTATTGTGTGGGATCTTCTTGCGTAGTGATGAACCTCTTATTGTGCAGAAAGTCTGTCATATTCTCGTGCAAATAGCGAGAGAGATCAACTCCTTCGCTTCGCACGTATTGTCGCTGTTGCTATACAAATTAACTAAGACTCACGATAGCTCCACATTGAAATATCTGTTACTGACTGTTCCCGAGTTTGCCATGACTAAGGAAAACCTACCGATCGTCATTCACACGTTAGACACATTGTTGAATAGCGGCAAGCCACTGAAATATTTCGCGATCCAGCTTTACATAAAGGCATTGGAGAAGGAGCCACGTTGCTATCGCTTCATATCCACTGCTCTAATGGATGCTATGGAGAAAGATCATAACTGGCATTCGGACGTGACATGCGCTCAGGCGATAAAGTGTATTTGCGAGAGTTGGCCCGAGTACGGTGAGGAACTTGTGCCACTGTTGTCACAAATCCTGAATCGATGCGTTGATCTGAATGGTAGTGCAGCCAGTGCACTCGCACTCGACAGCATCTCGGCTTTATGCAAGTCTACAGTAATAGGTACCTTATATTTCATATCTTTAGACACTGAATTCTTTTTAACAAGGTGGTGTATCAATATTTTATTTGCTACCCATGTTTTGTATAATTCTCTATAAAACACAAATAAGTGAAGAAGGCCATATTCAAAAGCGAATTCTTAATTCGGGTCTTAGTGCCTAATATTTTTTGTGTGAATTTTTATAATTTAAATATTATATAATTTAAATGTTAGGTCACTTTGAATATGGCCACTTTCTAATTTGTGAATATTTTTCGTTCGATTTTCACTTAATAGTGTTCTCTGTAACAATTCTCATTTTCTATGATTAACACAGGCGATGATTTTACTTGACAGGCGTTTATTCTACCTGGCAAGTGTTAGCACCAAAGATGCGCAAGGAGAAGCGCACGGTGGTCCTGGAGAGTCTATGCGAGTTCTTCGGTAACATTCCCTCGTACTCATTCCGTGCGAGCGACGACTACAACAGATTCATCACTGATGTTGTTACAATTTTGTGGAGCTACACGATCTGCGACGATATCAGAGTCGCAAAAGCGGCGTTTAAAGCACTGAAAACTTATCAGGTCGACCGAATTCCTTTGACTGCTCTGCCTCTAGACTTCCAATCGGATGTCGTGATAAAGCACACGTCTGAAAAGGCAAGTAGTGAAGGTAACAAGCTCGAGGTGCTGCAGTACATACCTGGCACTTGTTGGATCCAGATGCTGAAGAATGTGAATAGGAATGTCTTATCAGCGGCAGGAGATCTTTTGATTTCTTATATTAAGGATGAATTGAACAGCTTCAGATCACAAATATATACTTGGCCGCAAGGAGAACCACAAAACTATAAGTACCTGCCAGAGAGAAGTGTGATAAGGGCAATCGGTGAGCACTTGAGACGAAGTGATAAGTTGGATCCGAATAATCAGACAGTTTTAGTGGAGTGTCTGCGTATATTTGCTCATAAGCACAAAAAACCATTGCCGAATATAAAATGGGACTTTTTGGAAAAAACTATGCATATATCGAAGGAAGCTCAGGAATACAGTCTATCCATTGCGAGTCATCATTGTCAAATCTCGTTGTCGGCGAAATTGCTAACAGAAAGTTTCTTGTCTATGTATACGTCCATATCAGAAGCCGGTCGATTGCTGCTGGACGAGAAACACTTGGTGCTTTACTCGAATCTGCAGGAACTGTGCCAGGCTATTCAGCCAAATAACTTAAAGAAATTCATCGAAACTTCTCTCCATTATGCCATTGATCAAATTTTATTGAATAACGAAAAGTCCATTTATCTATTCGATCATATCATGTCTTCTTATGTCACCGCTTTAAAAAACAACTCGATACAAATAGGAAATCGCACGCTGCTAACCACCATGTTGGAAGAGATATCGCAAAAAGTCGACTTAACGTCTAAACATTTCGAGAAATATTTTGCGGCTATGATGGAATTGTTGACTAAGGATGTCGAAAGAATGACGTCGCCTTACACCTGGTGGGTAGTAACACCAGAAAAATTGAAAACCGCTATCGCTATTAGAGTCCAATCAGCCTTCAGAGGAGATACTGGCATGCCGTTCACTTGGCTAAATGATCTTATCAACGCGACCGAACTTAATTCTGAGTAAATATACGATTACAATAGATCTTATATTTGGCCAGTTGCCTAATAAATTTTCTTCTCTCTTTATAGGATGCAAAAATATTTGTTAGAAAGTATACAAAAAGTGCAGGCTGAGTTGAGATCAAAAAAATCCTGTGATTTGGAAATACAAAAAGACTGGATTTTAGATTTTATGAGACATATTGATGTGCTTACAGTAGAGACAGAAAATAAGAAAAACAATATAACTTTTTACTGTGATATTTTATTCATCTTGATTATCTGTTTATCCGGCATAGAATGTCTCCTGCCGAAAAAAGAATTGCTAGTTACTTCGCAAGACATTAGGATAAGATTGTTTCCACAAGCAATTTCTATGCTTATTGACCGACAAATTTGGAAATCTATAATACGCCAGGTATGTAAACTTGTCTTTTGTTAGCTATAGATATTACAAAGATTTATAATCTCTTGATTTTTAACAATTAGAAAAACATTACATCCATTTACAATTGCGGTGGCATTTTTCGTCGCAAAACGAGCAATATGTCTACTATACATTAAATTGTGTTGATAATTTTTTTAGATTATGAAATGGCTGAATCACATGAGGAGCAGTTCTGTACCTGATGTATATATACTTGCATTTCAAAGCGCGTTAATCTTATTAAGGCATGAAGAAGACTACAACTCAGAATGGAAAAATTACTTGTCAGTCAAAACTCGTATTTAAATATAACTAAAGAGAAATACGTGTACAATAAATATTTTTATATTAAAAAAAGGGACGTTTTCTTATTGAACTGATTTACTTATTCGTAATACTCAGCCTTGAATTTCATTAACGATAATAAAAAAATCTTACAACGTATATTTATACACCTGACATCCTACTTTAACGTCTAACCTTATTACTAATAAAGTAACAATTGTTATACAAGCTTTGATAGGTATATACATACACTTAGGTCCATATTCTTATCGCATGATTAACACTCAATTCATTAAATTGTTAAAAATTTCTATGTTTAAACAGTGACGTATAGAAAAAGATATGCTAATCTGTTATTCTTAATAAAAGATAAACATTTAAAAAAGAGGACAGAGAATAACTTTCTAATATTTTTTAATTACTGTGAACATTTTCCTGAATTTTAACAGGGATATGTAGATCTATATGCGATCGAGCATATGTAAGTTTTAATAATTGTTTATGGAGTCAATTGGAAGATAATGTGCGATTATTGACTTAGCGCTATTATCACCTGAAAAAATTACATGACGAAACGGACGCTTTTTAAAAAAATTCTAGCCTATATATATATATTATATATTACTAATTTTCTAATTCGGCGACCTTTACACACCATTACTTTTTATGTACATCAGTACTTTTTAAAATATTTTACAAGCGATGCTGGTGCAAAGAGCGCGAAAATTCTATTTTATAAGGCTGATTTGTATAAATGTAAATTTATACAAATATAAAATAAATCACAGAAAGAAACGTACTTGCTCGTTGTATATAAAATATATATCGTTCGATACGTAACTTGAATAGAATGGCGAGCATAAGTGCATTTATTAGTAAAAATAAAAATGTGTATTAATAAATTCCTAACTAAACCGGATGTCCTATTTTCGTATAATTTAATATAAATTATTTTTTGCATCGTATATCTATCTACAATTTCCTCGTCACATATGTTGTATGTGACGGCACTCATAATGCTACACGGACGTCTCGCTATTGTCTAATGTCATTACCGTTAAAGTATTAGGTCTCGAACCAGTTAGAATTTGCTCCTCGGGCGGACGCATCCTGGGCTCCAGAATATTTCTTTTTGTCTCCACATTCTTTTTGATCGGTGTGCGACTAGGACTAGACTTCCTGCTGCTTGGATATGATTTCAATAAACGTGCCCTGTGAACAATTAGTAAATTATACCTAAGTCTTTATATTTTTAAATAACCTTTTCTTTGGCAACACTTGGGACATATTTAGAATATTGAAATGTCATTATCCAGACAGCATGTCCAAAATCGAAACAGAAGACATCATTGAGACTTTTTTAAACATTAAATTATAAAACATCTTTAAGATGTCTAGCCCGATTTTAAACAAGCCTGTTCGGATATTCTGCATCATCTTGAATGGAATATTACTGTCGATATTCCGAATCATACTTACGCATCCATTAACTTCAAAAACAAGCGAGTGTATACTTGATACTCCTCGTCACCAAATTCTGTAGGGTCGTGTCTCGCATGTTCGTACAAATCACAGAACTGATGAATTAAACGCTGGCCGCTTCCATTTAATGGAGTAGCGAGTGTGGTGAGCAAGTATGCCCTCAGATTTTCCGAAGGATGTCTCTTGAGACAATTGTCGTACCTTGTGATCTCTGCCTCTGTAAATATCACATGAAACAAGACTCAGATATCAAGACAACATATATCACATGAAACAAAGCTTGATCTGTTTTTTATAGCTGAACTGATGAGCACTCTTCGTACTTATAAAGTAAAATAGGCATATGTATTTAATATTTGACAAAAGCAAGAAGGAAAGTTCTCTAGTGCAGTCTAGTGCAATAATAAAAAATAAATCTAACGACGGTATGGTAACTTACCTAAAGTTTTAACATCGTCAACAGCTTTTAATCTGTAATAATGCGGTGGGGCTTGTCCACCTGGAGTCAAAATATATCTAGAGTCGCTAATCAGCTGCGGTTCATATTGGATCCTAGGTATCACTTCTATTCTCCTTTCTATTTCCTTCTTCAAGGACTGAAAAACATTTTCAGTATATTTAACTGGAGCATATGAGTCCTGGTGACATACTGAGACATTTTCCTAATTTTTAAATAACATAATGATTTATAATATAATAATTTTATGTTTCAGTTTTATTTTTCACAATTTTGTTCTATGTAGATTAATTATCATGCTATAATTTTTTTATATAATTGAAAAATTTAAAACTTCTAAAATAACAAAAACTAATGGTTTCCAAGGAGCCACATATTCCTTTGACATCACAAAAAATTATATATTTATCATGGGTTAAGCAACCATATAATAATAAGTTAACCTCAAAATTACATTGGATCGTAAAATATACCTTTTTCGCGTCATGTCCTATGGGAATGTGAGGACCCCGACGAGATCTCAAAGCGAATCTCATGATCTGCCGTTTCGCGAAGATGAATAGTAACAATATTGTCAAAACACCCGCTGCTATAAATATCACTATGGTCACACCGGACAGTTCCTGTGTCATTCTCGCACGATAATCAAAGCAGCCTGCGTTCGCGAACAATTATTGACGGGCACTAGTTCTTATGTGAGATCGTATATCGCTCTTGGACAATAACGTCAACTTTCATTCGAATAGAAAAACCTTCGAATAGAAAAACCTTCATCAGCTGATCCGCGTACGGAGTCCTATCTCGCGCGCATCGCTTTTAAACAAATTAATAGTTATTAATATCTGCATCGAACTTTTAATTAGGAATAAATTTTAATATGATGAATATTAGTGTGTGTCTTATTAAATAGTAATAAATACAGAATCTCTGGTGTAAAAATAAATAACGCACCAGTTTTATTGAAAAATTTAAAGGGAACATAGCGATCTTTTTTTTCCTTTCTTATAACAGCATAAGCATTAGATTAAAAAAAAGTGTAAAGTGAGGAGTAAATTTAGATAGTAGCTAAGCAAGAAATGATGAAGAAATTATAATTAATAGTTGGAAGTGTTTTATGTTTGTGTAAAATATATGAAATAAAAAATAAAAGAGAGAAGCATAGAAACGTAAGAGCAATTATGATTCTTGAAATGAAGTGAAAATAAGAAAAGTGAAAGAATTTATTTATTAGAATATTTATAATTCATTTTGATTAATACCTGATAAACTTGCTCACTTTTATAATTTTCATCTTGTTTCAAGAACCGTAATAAGCCTTTTAATATTTGTATATATATATATATTTATATTGGAAATAAAAACAGTAACTCTTCAAGTATGCTTAAACAAATTTAATTAATATTAAGCTTAGGATAAAATATAAATTATATTTATTATACATTATATGTTATTTTTCTAAATTAGGACTTGAATTTTTATGCTTTTCAAATGTAATTTTATAGATATTTGAAAATCACTATAAAAAATCCAAGTCTTAATATAGAAAAATATATATTTTAATCTCTAAATATCTATACATTCATAAAAATACATTAATCGGAGAAAACTAGATAGACAATTATAGACGCATCTTTACACATGTGATTTAGTGATTACATGTTCCTTAAAATATTTTCTATAGGTTTTTTGAATAATGTTTCATTAACGGCGGCGATTTCAACCATTACACTTTTCTGTTCTTCAGTTAGTGCTGTATTAATTTTTAAAAATGATAGTATAAGCTTCCCGAAGTTCTTATCTTTGGAATAACAAAGTGCTTTTTCCAAGAATAATTTGATAATTTTATCAATCATGTTGTGGTTCAATCTTACAGATAAAAAATTTTGCAATACAGATATATGCCATAATTTTAATTCCTTGACACATGCAAGAAACTCTCTGCAAAAATATTTAAAAAATTATTAAATTTGTTTTTTTAATTCAATTTTCTAAGTAAAAATTATACTTTACAATCATATATATCATACAACTGCGTGAAACGTACTCTAAAAGAATTGTTTTCCTTTGCTGATCAAACATGTTCACAATGGTGGTGACCAATGTTATATTTTTCAACTCAATGTTGAGAATCGGAACAAATATAAGTTGCTGAACCTCATCGGGAAATATTTTAATGCATTCAACGATAGCAGATGATAATAAACGAGATGGCTCCTCCAGTTCGACTATCTATGAATATAATGTGAACAAAAATTAATATATGAAAAAAAGTCTAGTAGATATTAGTAACACGCCATTGGTACCTTTGGTAACAACAGATGTGTGCAAAATATATTGAGATATTTCATTCTCTGTTCAATAGTCATATCGTTCATCGACAGACATAGATTATAGATACCCTTAGGACTTAATTTTCTTGCCATCTCGTCCACCAATGGAACAAGATCTTCATCTGATAAGTTCTCTAACTGGGTGAAGTCTAGCTTGCCATTATTTCGTTCTAAATTCTCGCAAGCACATTCTAAAATATCACACCTTTGCGGCACTGCAGCAACAGATCTCTTCGGTTCTATAGTTCTCTCAATTTGTGTAAAGTAAAATTGAGTAGATGGTGGTGGTATGGATTGATCACAGTTCGTTTGAGATTCGTTATTGTCCATCGGTTCATCATTATCGTCGTTATCTTCACTTTCTGAATATATTTCTTCTTTATTCTAAATCGAACAGTGCATGTTTATGTTAAATTATCTATACATAAATTTGGAGTATTATCTGTACAGAATTTGGAGTGATTTAATATTAATGATTTTTTTATTTCCATAATTATTTCATCTTTGTAGAGATACATGTTAGTTTAAAAATTAAATAATGACTATATAAACTTCATTGAGATTGTATTTCACAATATGTGGTTGAACTGGTACAATTCTAACCTCTTCCGCTATGAGTTTCCACATCGGATTAGCCTGGGCGATGTTATCTTTCAACGCTTCCCTGATAGATTCGAGTCTCGCCATGGTTTCTTCTGATAATGTATATTTTTGGTAAAAGGCTTCCGAATCCGTATTTTCCCGCATCATTTCGCTCTCGTTGCGTCGTCTCGCGCATGTTCATCGTGTAGTGTATTGACATTGGCCTAAGGTTTGTCGCGTCGCAAGCTCCAACATGCTCCAACATTCTCCTACCATAGCTCTTCTATCAAAAGCATTGGAATGAGTAAGAACTATGGTAGAAGCATATTGGAACATGTTGGAGCATGCGAATAAACCTCTAGTTTCCACCGAGGATTCGAACCGGATCAGAATGCAAGAACCAACCAATTACAGTCGAGCATTCCCCTGTAATTCGACTGCAACAGGGGAATGCTCGACTGTAGTTGGTTGGTTCTTGCATTCTGATCTGAATCGAACCCTCGGTGGAATAGAAACCACTTGACAGCGTTCTGCTTCTGATCAGTGATGTATCTATTATCCCTTCAGTAGGACAAATTTTTTTAAAGATATATATCTTCAACCAAAAAGTTATTCCTGGACAAGAATTCAGAATAAGGTAAATGTATCTATCAGTGTTATTTTAAATATTAAATTTTTAGTGATATGTATGACTCTAAATAAATTCGTTGTTTATAAAAATTTATAATAAGACGAATTTATTTGAAGTCGTACATAAATTTTTATCACTTCCTTCAATAATTTAGCCATTAACTATCCAGTGAGAAATGATAATGAAATCGATGTCGATTCCATTATCATTTCTCACTGGGTAGTACAAATATGTTCAGGAAGTAACTACCCTAGTAGCACAATTCATCGGCGCAACATTGGCGCAACATATCCCCAATGTATGTCAACGTTTAACCAATGTTTCGCCAATAAATTGTGTTGCTCGGGTATCAAACTAAATTAAATAAAATTTATACGTTTTATACGTAAATTTTGTTTAATGTGATGCTTATACACATAAATATTACATACATATACAAATGGAGGGAAAAGCAACTCCGACGACACTGATGAACAACATTCAAAATGTATTTTCCATGCGAAGCGAGGTCCCCCCATATCTCCCCCTGCTTACTAGACGTAACGATAATTAAGATGATTCTTATATATAATATTATTAGTTGTCGTAATCTAATTTTCTTTTAACAATTTCGTCAAACAATAAAAAATTAATAATTCTATCCAAACCAGTGTAACTTCGCTAATATTGTTAATCATTGGGTCTATTTTTTTGTGACTGAACTATACAGTGTACACTTTTAAGAATTTAAAGTGAGATAAGATAAGAGTATGTGTTTAATATTTAGCGAAAACGAAAAAGAATTTTAGTTCAGTTTAGTCAAAGAATAAAATAGACAATAAAAAATAGACCTATTATTCGACGAATTTATTAAAAAAATCAAGACGAATGCACCTTCCCGGTCGATCACGCTGCTGGCATGGAGTCGCCTGTCGCACTATAAGGTGGTTTCTTTCATCATTAGCCGCTCGAGTTAGTCACTAGTCAGTCGTTGGCGATCAACGCGCGAGTGAAGTGCGTCGTGGGTTTCTATGGATTGAAATACACGGCAAAGAGAGAAGCAGCGATAGCAGCAGCAGTAGATCTTTACCAAGTGAATCCATGATCACGCCCGTCAATTTGCCAGAACGCTCAACCTTTTTCGGTGGCAAGGTAAGTACGATCACCGTAGATCTGTGACTCTTCGCTTGTGCGCATTTTCTTCAATAACGTAGAACTCCGAGTGCGGAATCACTCTGAAGGATTTCTCGAGAACTCGAGACCACTCATTCTTGAAGCCTGAAAAAAGGCATTTATAATTACTCTTATATTTTCTTTACGAGAAACTATTTGTGTTTTGTGGATATTTGTGTCTGTGATAAGCGATGATAATGTGTATGTGCGTGCATATACGCAAATATTATATAATTGATCGTAAATGTATAATTGTGGATAATTCTACATCAGAATTCAAGTATAAATAAATACACATATTTGAAATTACTATGAACATGTTGAATTGGCTGGTGCTGATGGATTAACTTAACAACCGCAAACCATTGTCGATATGACTATCACTCCTTTAAGCTTCACAGAATTTTCCTGCCGCAAGGAATTTTCTTTGTTTCTAACACGCGGTAAATATTCTCCCTCGCGTGTATCATGAGCATGATGAACGACAATTTGAATCCCGAATGAAAATTATATACATGTATATTGAAAATGACTCGATCAGGCGAGAGAGAGAGAGAGAGAGAGACGCCGTTTGTATTATTTTTTGTTTAGTTCTTATTAATTATATTATATCTTTTATTTAAATATTGTTTTCTTATGGTTCGTAG